TATTTCTTCTTTTATAATTGATGAAAAACATTTAATTTTATTTAATGGAATATTTGTCCATTTTCTAATTTCATCTCTCCATTGTTCTATAGATATTGTTGTTGTACAAATAATTATTGTTGGTTCTTGAAATTTACAAATAATTCCAATACTCATTAATGTTTTTCCTGATCCACATGGTAAAATAATAATTCCACTTTGTGCAAATCCTTTTTTAAATACTGAATTAATTCCTTTTATTTGATATGTTCTAAGAACAGTATCATCTTTTAATGAAATATTAATTCTTTTTTTTCCAATTTCTATTTTTTCATTTATTAAAATTCCTTTTTCTTGACATTTTTTTTTAAATTCTATAATATTATTTTTTATTTCATATTCTTTTTTATTTATTATTATAAATTCTTTTACTTCTTCTATTATTTTTTTATCTCCTTCACATATTCTTTTTCCTTCATAATTACAAATAATTGTTATAATTCTATTATTTATTGTTTTTTCAATAAGTGTTTTAATTCTTTCTGGAATATTATTTTTTGAATATTTTTTTAATTGATAAATAATTGTTTCTGCTTCTATTCCAATTGATATTGCTGAATAAATTGTATATTCTGTAATTATATATTCTTCTATATGTTCTAAAAGACTTTTAACTTTTGAAATTTTTTTAATAAATTCACTTGCTATTTGATAATTTTTATTATCACGTTCAATAATAATTAATCCATTTGGACATACCCAATATGGATTAGATGTATTTATAATTTCAACATTATATTCTTCTAAATCTTCATCATTATTATTTTCTATATTACTTTTCATTTCAATTTAAATATCAGTTATGTTTTTATTATAACAAATAATTTTTTTTTCTTTTTATTTTTTAAAAATATTAGGGTTAACTTACATTATTAAATAATGTCAATTGATAATAAAACCCAATTAAAATATCTTACAGAAGATAAGAAAAAGAGTATTAAACCAAAAAAAGTAAGTAAAAAAGAATTTAAACAACCAAAAGATGAAAAAAAAGAAAAAGAAATTACAAGAATTCCATTTCCAACTGGTTATTCATTAAATCCAAAAGATAAAATTCTTGGAGTTGTTTCTGAAATAAAAGATGGTAGAATTATAATCAGTTTACCATTTAGATTAAAATATGTTTGTTCATTTGAAAATATTCCATTTGTTAAAATTGGAGATATTATTCCATTATCAGTAATTTCACCAACTACAAAAGAAAATAGATTAGATTGTACATTTGATATTTCTATAATAAATGAAAATAGAGGAATTAAAATAAATGATGTTATTTATGGAATAATTCTTTCAATTGAAGATTATGGATATCAAGTTAATGTTGGAAATAATATTACTGTTTTTGTACAAAAAAATGAAAATATAAATGATATAACAGAAGAAAATGATATGTCAGAAATAAGCAATGAAGAAAATGAAGAAATTAAAGAAATTAAAGAAGAAAGTGAAGAAGATAATAATAAAGAAGATATTGAAGAAAATAATAAAGAATTTAGAATAAGAAAAGTAGGAGATTTTATTCAAATAAAAATTACAGAAGAAGTAGGAAATAAATTTAAAGGAATTATTGCAGATAGTAGTTGTATTATTGAAGAAATGAAAAATGTAAGAGTAGGATGTCATGTTAAAGTTAAAAATAATTATCAAACAAAAAATGGAAAAGTTATGAAAATGTCAGGAGGAAATTTATATTGTCATTCATTTCATATTAATGAAGAAGGAGAAGGAGGAGAAGAAGGAGTTGTTATTTATTATAATAATCAAATAAATAAATATTATATAAGTATGTTACCACATGTTATTTGTGAAGATTATGAAACTAAAACACCAATTGAATATTTTAAAATTATAGAATTTACAATAACTAAAATAGATGAAAATGTTGGAATTATTGGAGAAACAGAAGATAAAGAAGAAGTATTTTTATCAAAAAAACAAATAAAAGATGAATATTGTTTAGATATTCCAAAAGAATTTAAAATAGGAAGTATACATAAAGGAAGAATAATGTATTATTCAGCATTTGATGGATATTGTGGAATAACAACAAGAGAAAGTATATTATCAGATAAATATCAAAGTATAAATGATATTAAATCAGGTATGATAATTGAAGGAATAATTAAAGAAATTAATGAAAATGGAATTAATGTTAAAATAGGAGAAAAAATATATGGATTTTGTGATAAAATTAATAGTGGAGATATTCCTATTGAAGATTTAAAAAGTGTATTTAAAAAAGACCAAAAAAGTAAATTTAGAGTATTAACAGTAAATAATAGAAATAATAGTATTTATTTAACACATAAAAGAACATTAATGAAACTAACAACACCAATTATTACAAATATTGAAGAAACAGAATTAAATACAATAACATTTGGAATAGTAACATTTATTGATAATAAAAGAGGTGTTTATTTAAAATTTTTTAATAATATAGAAGGATTTATTCCTACAATTGAATTATTTAATCAAAAAATAGGAATGATTAGTATTGGTCAACTTTTAAAAATTAGAATTATTTCATTTGATAAACAACTTTTACTTTGTTCATTAAATTTATTCCCTGAAGAAAATGTACCAGAAAAATATGAAGATGTTAGTAGACATTTTAAAGTAGGTGAAATTTATGAAGGAATTGTTGTTGCTAAAAGAGAAAAAATTATGTTAGTAAGAATTAAAAGTGGAGATGTTCAATATATTGCAATGATGCCATATTATCTTGTTATTGATGGAGATGAAGGAAAAGATATTCCTAAAATGATAAGAAATGGAACAATAATAAAAGAATGTTTATTATTAAAAAATCAAATGGGACAAATGATAATTACCACAAAGAAATCACTTATTTCATTAAGACAAAAAATAGGAAAATTTAATTCTAAAGAAGAAATGACAGTTGGAAAATATATTGGATATGTAAGTAAAATTAAAGGAAAATATTGTTTTATTTCATTTTATAATGGAGTAACAATAGTTTGTTATAGAATGAATGTAAGTGATAGTAATTTACCAATTGAAGAAGTATTAGAAAATGGACAAACAGTATATGGATATTTAAATAAAAAAAATATTTTCTCATTAAAAGAAAGTAGTGTAGGAAGTATTAAAGAAGAATATATGTTATTAAGAATAGAAAGAGATGTTGAACCAAAATATGGAAGTCAAATTAAAATAGAAATTAAAGATATTAAAGGATATGGAATTATTGGAAAAAGTAAAGAAAGAGAAGAAACAATATTTATTCCAAAAACAGGAATTGAAGGAGATATTAAAGAAATAAGTAAAGGAAGTAATATGAAATGTATTGTTATTGGAGTAGATAAAGAAAGAAAAATGATAGATTGTATTCAAGAAAAAATGATAAAAAAAGAAAGTATAGAAATAAATAAAATATATAAAGGAAAAGTTATTATTAATAAAGAAGAATATTGTGTTTGTCTTGTTGAAGGAAATATTGTATTTGTAAATAAAATTCGAATGAATGGAGGAAAATATATAGTAAAAGAAGAAGTAGAAATAAATATTGGAAAAGAAATGGAAGGATATCAAAATATTTATGAAGGAACAGTTCATATAAAAGCAAGAGGTTATAATATTAAAAATAATAATATTAATATTGGAGAAAAAATAGAAGGAATAGTAAATTATACAAATGAAAGTATTAGTTATTTAAATTTAGGAAAAGGAATTACAGGAAGATTACATAAAATTAATAGTACAAAGAAACTAGAAATTGGAGAGAAAGTAGAATGTTATATTATTGGAATAAAAGGTAAAGGAGAAATGAATAAAGAAAAAGGAAAAGAAATAGAAGGAAAAATAGAAATAGTAGAATTAAGTATGAAAGAAAAAGGAAATATTGAAGAAAAAATTAAAGAAGGAGAAGAAATA